TTTTTTCTCTCCTCTATCTCCCAGGACCTACAACAGTGCCTGGCACATAGCAGGTGCTCAGTAGATATTTGTTGCATGAATAAGCAGCTAGCATTAATTGAGTATCTATTATGTGCCCAGCACTGTAATAGATGGCTTCCCGTGACTGAAGATTGCCAAGATCATGATTTCTTCCATTATCATGTTACCACGAACTCATCTTCTGATAGAAACAAGTGGGTGTGTTCCATCAAGGACTCAGATAAAGGTAACAGAATGCATCCAAAAGAATCATGAGTTCCAACAGATCACCTGTCTGCCACCTGATCTGACTGTTGGTATTTGGGGCCGGAGGCAGATGAGGCCTGGGACATCCTGGGTGGAACCGTCTATGCTGAGAGCTTGGCATTGAGGGGAAGTCACTTTCGTGCTGGGCAAATCCTGACCCCTGTCGTCCTGCAGAGCTCCGGAGTGGGGATGGTCGAGAGATGCTGCTATAGCATTGCTAAGAAACTGGTTCACAATTCACGGCGTGACCTTGTCCAAGACACTTGTGTCACAGTTTCTTTATGATAGGGAGGCATCGGTGGACTGGGTTGAATCAGGAGAGCTTTACTTTATCCCTTTTATATATTGGACATTTCCACATAAAATTTCATTTGGAGAAATGATTCCACATGAAAAACTATACTTTAAAAAAAACACTGCACAAAATAGTCTCTGGTACCGTTTAGTTCAAACCTTCCTGGAATCAAAAAACATGGACACTGCCCTTTGGGTCAGCACAGCATTCTGTTCAGCCTTACTTTCTACAGCTGGGAATGGGCCCGGGTTTATGCCGCGAGCGGCCATTCACAGGTTCCCCCGGGCCCCAGCTTCTCTCAGAGGCCATTAACCCTGTGCTCACATGGCAGTTGTCTTCCCCACTGGGCCTTCCTTTATTTTTTTTATTAAGTTTTAAATTTAATTCCAGTATAGTCTACATACAGTGTTGCATTAGTTTCAGGTGTACAATATGGCGACTCAACAGCTCTGTACATGCCTCGGTGCTCATCACGATCCGTGGACTCTCGAATCCCTCCCATTGGGCCTCCGACTTACATTACTTCTGTATGTTGAGATAGAGCAAAGGCGACAGTGCCCAGTCGGATTTGCAGGGCAGCTGCACCTCTGTTGTTTATATGAAGGGAATATAACATTTACTGATTTTCTCGTGACATTCTTCTTGTTGCTGTCCACCGCCATGTGTCTCTTGGACCACAGTAGCCCAGTGTTGCCTGAGGGTTGCTGCTGATCCGATACTACTCCTAAGTCCCTTGTCTGGGCCACAACTCCATTCCCTTGCACCTGCTCGTTCACACATTTGTATAAGGTTTTCCTTTGTCTCATTCTCCTTATTGTCACACATAGGCTGAAAGACATCACTGGGCGCTCCTTTTTTTTTTTTTAATTCTTTTTTATTTATTTCTAGGAGAGAGAGAGAGAGACAGCGCGAGCAGGGGAGGGTCAGAGAGAGAGGGAGTCACAGACTGAAACAGGCTCCAGGCTCTGAGCTGCCAGTCAGCACAGAGCCCGACGCGGGGCTCGAACCCACGAACCGCGAGATCACGACCCGAGCGAAAGTCGGACGTTTAACCGACTAAGCCACCCAGGCGCCCCGCTGGGCGCTCCTTCTTGTGGTCTGGTTTTCACATATTCAATATGGTTCCCTTTTTATAAAGTTTTAAAACAAGCACAAACAGCGTTGTATTGCTTAGGTGTGTGTGTCTGCACATTTTAAAAGACCAAGGTAATGATAAATGCAAAATTGAGGATAGTGGTTATGGAGGGAGGGCCAGAGGATGTCAAAACAGGGAGATGGAATAGAGGGGGAAGACGAAGGTAAAAATAAGGTATCAGTGATGTAGTTCTTGGGCTGGGTGATGGTTTTATGTGTGTTCCGCATGGGTGTTCATAAATAAATAAATAAATGTCATAAGTGAAATATGAAAGGTCCATATATGAACTACTAATGATTAATTCTATACCCCTGAGGTTCAAACACAATGATTATAAGAGGAACACAAGAGGCGTCTGGGTGGCTCAGTCGGTTAAGCGTCCGACTTCGGCTCAGGTCATGATCTCGTGGTTTGTGGGTTCGAGCCCCGCGTCGGGCTCTGTGATGACAGCCAGCTCAGAGCCTGGAGCCTGTTTCAGGTTCTGTGTCTCCCTCTCTCTGACCCTCCCCTGCTCATTCTCTCTCTCTCTCAGAAATAAATAAAACATTAAAAAAGAATTTAAAAAAAGAGGAACACAAGATTTTTTTTTTATGAACCAGAATCTCACTTCTATAACGTGCCTACTTTCATTTTGGTTCCTTCCAATGTGAAAGGCTTTTTACAACTCTAAGTGGATCGTAACTATAAGCTCGCCTCTCTTCAAGTTAATTTCCCCCTCAATTATTGTCCATAATTTAGTCAGACTGGGGTTCTCCTTGGTGGAAATATGTTGCATTTCCCCATGAAACGATTTTGGTCTAGGGTTTGCAGATCCTCATCTTTCTCTTGGACCTTGCATGCTGGTTGGTATGGCTCCAAGAATTACCAACTACCGCCTGAATACAGTTCAGTGAAGGGCTGTGATTGCTTATTGCCAGATAAAATACACGATCGCTAAATCTGCATTTCAGGTAAACAACAAATAGTTCTTTGATATTTGTATGAATTTGAGGCATACGGAATCCTCTGTTTTACTTGCTACATCTGGAAAGCCTGTCCCATTTGGACCAATACCTACTCTTTAATGTCGTTATTGGATTGGGGTCCCAGAGAGTATGAGTTTGGGAGTCAGACTGATCCCAATTCAAATCCTGACTCCTCCACTCAAGATACAGAACATCGTTTTGCCTCAGAATCTTATCTGTGAAATAATAGCAATATGTCATGAGGTTGTTGGGAAGACTAAATAATACTCGTATAGTACTTAGCCTAGTGCCTGGTGCATACAAAGCTCTCAGTGGCTATGATCATTATTGTCAATTTTATATAGAAGATGATGTGCACCAGGCAGGATCTGACCGGTACTGCAAACCTCTCCGTTTCCAGGATCAGTTTGGGAATCAACGCTCCTTAGGGTCTTCCTTGGTGATAACCAAAGGCAAGGTCGCATCTAGCCTCTTCCTTTTTGTTTCTGAATCCTTCTTTTGGCCCCCTGTCATGAAGTGCCCCAGACTCACTTCTGTAATTGGCTTTCTCCTCTTAATAGAAAGACCTTTTTTTAAAAAATATTTTTATTTATTTCTAGGAGAGAGAGAGAGAGAGAGCGTGAACAAAGGAGGGTCAGAGAGAGAGGGAGATACAGGCTCTGAAATAGGCTCCAGGCTCTGAGCTGGCAGTCACCACAGAGCCCGACACGGGGCTCGAACCCACGAACCGCGAGATCATGACCTAAGCGAAAGTCGGATGCTTAACCGACTAAGCCACCCAGGCGCCCCAAGAAAGACCTTTTTTATGCATGTGTTTGGGGGTCACTTAGAATGCCTCAAGTTGCAGGCTTTTGTCTTCCCCGATGGAGATGCCTAGGTGACTGGTAATCACCTTTGAGATGCTATCCTTAAGCCGATGACTTATGAGTTTGGCTAACAAAGGGGAACAGCTTTGATCAATAATAGGTTTAAATAGAATGGAGGGAAAGCAAGATCCCGCAGATCCTGAGAACCCTCTGTTTCTCACAGCAGGGTCAAGAAATAAATTAATTGGTTTCCCACTTGCCTTCCTCGTACTTGCAACATCTCCCTTCTTTCCGGTGCCCAGTACCTTCACTGTTTCTCCTTTCAGGGAGCACTCCAGACCCTTTACATTCTCCTCTCCGACCCACCCTTCCCTCTCAAAACTTGCCTGTTTACACACTCTACCCAGTGTCTAATCGGACGTAGGACATATTAATTCATCTTAACGTGCTAACAGCTTAAAAAGATTCTGTTTAATCCCCTTCCCAAACCACAGAGGTTTTTTGTTTTTTTTTTCAACACCTGAAAAAGTAAGCCTGACAGTGGCTTCCTAGCAGATAAGGGAGGCCGTGCGGGATTCCTTAAATCACACCGCATTTTGAGCTGCCTGTTCTGTCGGCTTCGCATGAATGGAAGGGAGCGGCAGAGCAGATAATCTAAAGATCATTTCCACTTGGTTTGGGAATGCACCACACGGTTTTGTTGTAGCTGATTTGCTTTGTTAATTATGTTCTACTTAAGCTAATATTGAATTTGGTTCACATTTTTTAAGCTCATCTGGGCCAGAAGAGGGAAGAGGTGGTGGTGTGGCCTACTTAGAAAAAATGAAGGACATAAAAGTTCTATGTGTGAGCTGATAGATCTGGAAGGTAAATGCAAAAGGAGCAAGGTAGAACTTTGCCAATTACACCTACCTCACATGACTCGTTGGGCACCGAAAGGCCAGTCTTCCATTGGCCTGCCTGGAATCGGAAATCTTCATCAGTAGCCTAACATTAAGGGTCTTCATCATATCGTTAACTATGGCTAAAGCATTACGTAACCTAAGAGGAGTAACGCATTTCCTAGCAGACACGTTGGCAATTTGTCCGACTAAATCTTCAGTCCTTATTGTCATCTAGCGGAAAACGCACGAAAGGGGTGGGACACAAGACGGTCATACCCTGATACTGGTATGGGTACACTAAAAGAGCGCTGGACAGCTATGGTGTAAGTACAAGAACACCACGTGCCTTGTGGGTGAGCTGGGAAGGTTGCTGAAAGAGGGTAAGGCAGCCTTCACCCCTTTCCTTCACAGCTTCTTAGTTTCTTGCTCATGGTAGACATAGAGACTATGCAACTCTATCAAATAAATTCATCCCTTCCTTACTCTTCCCCTGTTGGGCAGCTGGGCAAGGGCGTCTAGAGATTTCAGAGGTCTTGGTTTTCCCTTGAGGCATGTCATTTAGAGCAAAAGCCTAACTATACGTTGTCTTTCCAGCCCTACAGGGGACTGTGGGACTATTAAAATGTCTTGCTCTTTTTCTCATTGCAGTCTGCTCCCAGTTCTCAAGAGGGGTGTACGCCATCTTTGGATTCTATGACCAGATGTCAATGAACACTCTGACCTCCTTCTGTGGGGCCCTGCATACATCCTTTGTGACGCCCAGCTTCCCCACTGACGCAGATGTGCAGTTTGTCATCCAGATGCGCCCAGCCTTGAAGGGCGCTATCCTGAGTCTGCTGGGTCACTACAAGTGGGAGAAGTTTGTGTACCTCTACGACACAGAGAGAGGTAAGAAGAGGCATCTGTTCTGCTCTTTGAATATTCACGGAACAGTGGTATTCAGCCTTTCTCCACTCATGTTTGTTTCCTTCTCTTTCAATAAATAAAACGGAATACTCTTTTAAAACTGTATTTAAATTAAAAATGAATTTAAACGAAGGGGAACCTGGGTGGCTCAGTCGGTTGAGCATCCAACTCTGGATCTCAGCTCATGTCTTGACCTCAGGGTCATGAGTTCAAGCCCTGTCTTAAAAAAAAAAAAAAAAAAAAAAAAAAAGAATTTCAATCAAGACCAAAAATTTGATGCAATGGTAATTTTAGAATCTAGTTTTTCAAACTACATATGTCCTCCCACCCCCGGCCCTGAAAAGGGGTTTGGGACTCTCCTGGTTGAGTCACTGCTGTGGAAAAAGAACCCTCTCCCCACCAAAATAATTTATGTGGTCTAAAATTCACAAAGTAAAAGCAGCTTTGTCTAAAATAGAAAGAGGCATAAGCTGGAAAGTTTTGGAAAATTAACCCTATTGGAGAGTGTAATTATCCCCATTTCGTAGATCAGAAACTGAAGCCCACAGAAATGTGCTTTTTCGCTTAACCATTTAACCACAGAGGTGAGGCTGGTATCAAAATTTCCGGCTTCTAAGGCTCGGTCCACCAGGCCACATCAAGTCTTCAGCTTATAGGGCCTCAACAATGACCTTCTGGAAATACTGAGTAGAGAGTGCCAAACTGGGCTTTGCGAATGGATGTCTTTTTCAAATAGTGAGGTAACGTATCGAGGACACATTCTATTGAAACAGTCTCAGAAATTAAGGGTCTGATCATAAGTGGTATACAGTTTGGTGTATTTGTTAATTAGATAAAGCACACACATTATAATTCAGCTAAATAGACTTCTCTAAAGCCCAGTTATCTTTGAGGGGCTCCTCAGTAAAACCAAGGGATCCTACTACTGGAAGGTTCCCAAAAACCACGCTTTCGCCTGTAACTCTGCTTATAGGCTGGGCATGGTTCTTTCTGATTCAGAGAAGGAAGAAGCAAATGGAAGTCCTGTCTGCCGGAGTGGTACCCGGAGAGGAGGTCTTTCTAGGTAACTTAACTTGAAAAACCATTTTGCTTTTGGAAACCCAAAGAACTCTTCACTCCCATTTCAGTGCACCATCAAACACTGTGAGAAAATACTAAAGCCTGTATTTGCCTGTGGTACTTATTTCTGAAATATTACCAATTTCGTGAACCTAAAGCAGGAGACCCAAGTTCAAGCTCTGCTGTTAACTAGCTCTCTGGCATTGACCAATGAACTGAAGCTCTCTTGGTCTTGTCTCCTTCCCTAGGGCACCCCTCTTCTTAATGTAGCATTCTATAATTTTGTTGAGATATTATAGCAGACACAGATACTTTGTATCTTGCTATTAACCCTGACTTCAGTTAATTAGTCAAGCAATTCTGCAAGTTGTTATCAACCCCCAATGGTGTGTTCGAGTCTCGTGATAGATCAGTATATAATACAGTTCCAATGGGAGTGGACAGAAAAGAACATTCATGAAACAATTTATGAACAACATAGAGCACTATCAAATTGAAGACTACACTACAGACTCCGATTGCTACAAGAATTGTGAAAAGGAAGCAATCCAGGAAACTAGAGTTTTCAGAGAAAGATGGCTAGAGGATTTAGGCTTTAAAGGATGTGTAAGTTGTGGATGGCAAGAGAAGAGGGACATTTATAACAAAGCAGAAGATAGACTTCATGTATTTTCTCCTCATCTCCCACGAACCTTCTTTGCCCAATGGAGGGAAAGAAACAAAGTCCATCGAGGTCTGTTTCTTATCCTTGCATCTCTTCTCAAATCATCTCACTAAATCATTTGGACAACTGTATGGTCTTCGAGCCAATAGAAACCTTTCCTACTCGTGTGTGTTGATATATTTTTTTCTCTATAGCCATTTAGCTGGTGGGACTAATCTGGTCTGCTTAAGAAATACTTTCTATAGACTGAGTGTCCAAGTCTTGATTTTGGCTCAGGTCATGATCCCAGGGTCATTGGATCAAGCCCCACATCAGGCTCTATGCTGAATGTGGAGCTTGCTTAAGATTTTTTCTCTCTCTCTCTCTCCCCCTGTCCCCCCACCTCTAAAATTAAAAAAAAAAAAAAAAAGGAAATACTTTCTATTAACTTTTACGCTAATTTCCTCCTTGGAAAGCCTTCTTAAAACACTGAACCATGACCCCGTTCCAGTGTTTTCAATGGCTTTTGTTGCCCATATTGGGGGGGGGGGGTGGAAAATAGTCTATTCTTTAAGAGTCAACATAATTATGCCTCATCCAACTAACAATACTATTGTTCCTGTGTTACCTAATGAGAACCTTCCATTGCAGGCAGCTCCATTATCCATTGTTTCCCAAATGTGCCAGAACCATGCTTGGTGTCACCATCTTGACTTCCGCTACTACCTAAAATTCTCTCCTTCATCTTGATTATGAAAACCCTGCCCATGCTTCCATTTTTCAAAGCCCACATCAAATTCCACCTCTCCAAGGTAGCCTTTTCTGGCCACACCAGCTCATAGCCGTTTACTCATTCATTCATTCATTCATTCACAACGTTGAATAAGATAGACATGGTTTTTGCATCTACCCTAACAGATAAGACTCAACTTTAAAAAGATTCTCAGTGATATGGGGCACCTGAGTGACTCAGTCAGTTAAGCATCCAACCCTTGATTTCAGAGCCCCACATCAGACTCCACACTGACAGTGTGGAGCCTCCTTGGGATTCTCTCTCTCCCTCTCTCTCTGCTCCTCCGCCTCCCCCCTCTGGTCCTCCTCCCCTCAAAATAAATAAATAAAACTTAAAAAAAAAAAGATTCTCAGTGATAGCCTTGTTGAGAAGGTGCATTTAAGCTGAGAACTAAAGGATTAGGAGAGAGCCATGTGAAGAATAGAGGGAAAGAGTTTCAAGCAGTGGAAATAGCAAGTGCAAAGGCCCTGTGGCAGGGAAGAGTTGGGCACATTTGAAGAACTAAAAGAAGACAAGTGAGGCTAAAGGGTAGTGAGGAGGTCGGAAGTGGCCTGAGACGAGACCACAGAGGTAGACAGGAGGCAGATCATAGCCACGGAGAATGGACGGGAGCCATGGGAAGGAGTATGAATTTTATTCTACCTTCACTGGGAAGTCTTTGGAGGATTCTGAACAGGGGAGTCACGTGATCTAAGTTTCTGTAGAGAGTAGAATGTGGTGCAAGTGTGAAAGAAGGGAAACCAATTAAAAGGCTATTGTGGTTATTTAGGTGAGAAATGATGGCAGCTTAGACCAGACTGCCGATGGAGAAGAGTGGATGGAGTTGAAATACATTTTGGACACAGAATCAACAGAACTTGGGGACAGATTGACTGTGGGATGTGAGGGAGAGGAAGGGTTCCTGGGTGACTACTAGGCTTTTAGCTTGAGAGACTGGGTAAGATGGTAATGCCGTGTACTGAGGTGACTGGGCAGGAGGAGATCTTGCCCGTCTCCCAACACCACAGAACCCTTCTGTCCGTGTCATTCACTTGGCACTTCACCTAAGTGCTCTCCATTGTTGTTTCGCCGGGTCTGCTACATACCTGCCCAAGCCCGTCTCTCCAGAGTGATACGAAACGACTGGTTAGCCCCGAGATTTATACTTTGTGCCGACACTGGTACACAGCACCTGGGGACATAGTGTTTTCCCAAAGAAGGGAAGGAAGGAAGCAAGCAAGGCTGGAAGGAAGGGAGGGACGATGGGAGGTAAAAAGGAAAGGAAAGGAAGCAAGGAGGGGGGAGAGAGAACCCAGTGTATAAATCATACCATGAGGTACAGTTCTTTAAAATATTCAATAAAGTATCTATTGTGTCTCTTCTCATTGTCTACAATAATCAATTGTAGCGATTACTGTTGCTTTAGTAATAAAAGTTATGGGGAGAGATCACAACTGTGAAATCGAATTTTAGAATATTTTAAATTACCCAAAAGAGAAATGGAAGACAGAAAAACAGAAGGGAGCACCTGAATATACAGATGATGTGACTCTACTGTATGAGGGCAGGGTTTAGTGAGAGGCTGAGAAATGGGTTAAGCAGTGAGGTCATTTAAGAGATTTGTAGCGCAGGGGCGCCTGGGTGGCTCACTTGGTTCAGCATCCAACTCGATTTCGGCTCAGGTCATGATCTCACAGTTCGTGGGATCGAGCCCAACTCTGGGCTCTATGCTGACAGCACAGAACTTGCTTGGGATTCTGTCTCCTCTTTCTCTGCCCCTCCCCCACATGTTCTCTCTCTTTCTCTCCCTCCCTCTCTCTCTCTCTCTTTCTCAAAAATAAACTTAAGAAAAAGATTTGTAGTGCAATCAGGGTAATATTATCTCTGAAATTTTGAAATGATAAACGGATTTCCAGGCTTTGTTAGCTACACGTGGATTTCTGTCTGCAGAGAAACGTCTCGTTTCTATGTTGTTTCATTAATACAAAGTTGAAAATTATGCCCTTGGTGCTGTATGCACAACAAACCAGTTCTTGGAAAAAGTATGAGGTTGACTAAGTGAGATATCTGCCCCTCTGTACCCTCTCCTCTGTATTGACATCCCTTTTTTTATTTACCCAGGACTCCCCACTGTGACACTTACCTACACCTGCTGTCCCCTGTGGGAGCAAAGCCTTGACATCTCTGTCCCAACCTGCCTCTACACCTCCACTAAAACTTTCCTGCCCTCCAGTCTGTTCCCACTGATTAATGGTCTTTCTCTGCAAGTGACAAGAGTTCAGCTGACCAATTTACTCATGCTCATTTATCCGTGGCTAGGACTGACTTGATGTGTTAGTACATCCAGGGAGGAAATTTCTATTCGGGTAAGGGCCTTCTGTGGACTAGAACCCTAGTCCAGAGCGTGGCTTTCCGATTCTGGGATCCCAGACACTGCAAGTCCGGTTTGGGAGGTCCCTTGTCCAGACACGTTCTTGTACAGAAAGTTCTAAAGCCATGCCAGGGAGG